TTTCTGCCATGCTTTTGCGTAGTCAATGAAGTAGAAGTAGATGTTTTTCTGGAACTCTCTGGCTTTCTCCATAATCCAGCGCAAGTTAGCAATCTGGTCTCGAGTTCCTCTGCCCCTTCAAAATCCAGCTTGTACTTCTGGGAGTTCTTGGTCTACATAATGCTGAAGCCTACCTTGTAGGATTTAGAGCATAACCTTGCTAGTGTGTGAAATGAGTGCAATTGTATGGTAGTTGGAGCATTCTTTGGCACTTCCCTTCTTTGGGATTGGGATGTAGACTGATCTTTTCCATTCCTCTGGCCACTGCTGAGTTTTCCATTGATGATGATAAAAAAAAGTACACTGGTCCTTTGATATTGGGCTGTGGCCCCAGGATGTGTTTTGTTCCTTTTTGCACACCACACATAGAATGATTAAAGTGGTAGGGAAAGCCCCTCCCCCCAATTCTGTGTTGGCTGTCTCTAGCAAGCATGTCATTGCTAGCACCACTCTGGCAGCCACTGATGATGATTAAATCCTCTGCGAGCTAGCAAAAATTTAATGCAATTTGCTAGGCATGTTTGACACCTTATTACTCCCTAAGCCACAACATGGCCGGAGTGCAATATGTTCCAGCAAAAATAGTGCACATCTTTCTCAAATTTAGTGCATCTTGCTAGTTCGGTATACAGCCTGAATTCAATAATATTTTGAATTCAAATAAGTTATGATTTCCTTCCTTTCGAATCAAGGGGGTAATGTTGGCGTATATAAATTTTTTTTGGGGGGGGTAAAAGGTAAAAAAGTTCCCTGACCCCTGTTTTAAACAAAGCACACTCATTCTCCACTCTAGACTGTGCTTTTGGTCACACTTGGCTTCCATGGGCCTAAAAGATGCAAAAGAGATTAAAAAAAATTATGCCCTTTAAGGAGCACAAGAAGTTTTTCCTGTTAAAAAGAAAGTCATATTTGTCTTGCCAAGGTTGAGGAGGCTTTTTCAAGTCCAGAGGGGGCCCTAGCATAAGTTGTCCCTTTATTTTAATGTAGAAGAAGTCTGCCTTCCTTTTCATTTTATTTGATGCTTATTTACCTGGTGGCACAGCTCTTCCCATTGTCTCTGCAGGAGCTCGATGCGCTCACTAAGGACTGAGATGTCATCTGCACTTATATAAGCAGACAGAGTCTCCTTCAGCAAAGTCAGGTGGGCCAGATCATCTGTCCATACCTCAGCAGTGCTCTCTAGCTCCTAGATTTTAAGAAGAAAATTTTAATGAAGTATAGGAAATCTTGTAAAATACACTGCTTTTAATAATTTTGCACAATAGTGTCGGGAAAGAAAACAGTCTCAAAAGTTTCCAGTAAATTGCTGTATTGGGAAGAAGTCAGGGCACGGTGGCTTCTCTTGATGGAACAAGATGATCTAGATTAGTGAGGCGAGAGGGATTTAGTGTACTCCATATCCCCCTTTAGTGTATTCTATGTATATTATGCCACTTCACCATAGGAAAATGTTCAAGTGCCAGGGTAAACCTTTAAATCGGCCTTTCATGCCTTGAAAGGCAAGGTAGGGTTTTCTGTACTGGGAGATATTTACTACTGTCAAGTCCCTTGCAGGCTGTAGATCTGTCTTAGGTTCCAAGCCAAAGCATATTAGCAATCAGAGTCAGGAATGTTTGGATTCAGTATTATTTGGGCAAATAAACATCATGATGGATAATATATGGCAATGCGATGCACCCAACTAGTGGTTCTTAACCTTTGTTACTCAGGGGTTTTTGAACTGCAACTCCCAGAAACCTCAGCCAGCAGAGCTGATGGTGAAGGCTTCTGGGAGTTGCAGTCCAAAAACATTTGAGTAACAAAGGTTAAGAACCAGTGCACTAAACTAACAAAGTACAGTATTATTTATCTATTTGTTTGTTACATTTATATCCCGACTCTCCTCTAACAAGCCGAAGGTGGTGTACCTGAGTACCTGACTCTCCTTCTCTTCCCTTTATTCTCACCACCTTCTGCTGTAAGTCAGCTGTAAGAATGTTGCTGACCCAAAGTCTTCTAATAAGTTTCATGGCCAACTGGGGCTCTCTCAGTTACACTAGCATTATTATTATACTACCCCAGCATTATATCATTACACTAGCCTTTATTAAATATAAATGGGACACAGCAGAGGCACAATGTATGGCAATTTATGTATTTAACTTACTTAAGTTATTCTATACATCAAAGCACCAGTTTCAAGTAAAATTATGTGCATGAAGTTGCTCTGGCAGATGTGAAACAATTTATGACATCTCAAGAATTATGGCAGGGACTTTCAGAATCAACTGAAGGTTATGAATTTCCTTATGGTATGTAAAAAGATTTCAGCTCCTATAGCCTAGACAGACCTGCCATGTTGTTAACAAAGATCAAGGTTGTCCTTATGTAACTGGAGTAACAAATACTTTTATGAGTGGCAGACTGCATTGTGCATGATTATTTTACCTTGCAACGCATTTGTTCTGTGTGTAGTTCATCATGATGGTCTGGCAATGGTTGAGAGAGTTTTTTCTTGAAGGATTTTAGTTTTTCCAGAGAGTCTGATATACCTTTTTCACATTTTTCCCAGTCCTGGGGAAGGGAAAACATACAAATTCCATACTTCAATGTTGGAGGAAGGAAAAAACAAGGGCAACAGGTTCATATATGTGATTTGGCAGTCATCAAGCAGAAAACATATTTTCTCAACCCACAAACAGCATTTTCTCACATACATAATGTACAAACATACACATTGCCCAATTAACACAGTTATTGAATGTAGAGAACATGAAAAGGAGTTGCAGAGATTTTTTGATGTCTTATGGCAGGAGGACGTGATTTTAAGGTACTGGGAGGCACTCTCAGATACTTCTGTGGGTTTATGACCCCTGTGGGAAGAAAGGTGGCATATAAATAACATACATAAATAAAATAATAAACAATATGCCATGGAGGTTGGGCCAGGATCCTCCTGTAATCAACTCATATCACACATTCAACATTAGAGGCCTAGGAGAAAATAAAATAGGACATCTCCCTGCATTTTATGTGGAGCTGAGGAGAGGGATTGGTCAACTGCCCACCCTCTCCTTTGTTGATCAGGGTAATCATACATATGACTATGTCAGGCTCAACTCCTGCCCTACATTAGGGTACCTCCATTTCCCCCTTCTTCTGCAATGCTTGTATATTCATAAAGCTGTCTCCATTTATAGCTGTTGCCGTCTCCTTCCTCCACTTGCAAATCAACACTAGATTGAGCGGAGTATAAGTAAAGAAGCACAGATAAGGAGAAGAAAACCTAACCTGACTTTTCCCCTTCAAGGCCACTTTTACAAACTGCTTTAAAGATAAACACTTTCACACTTCTATAGCTCTCATCCTGCTTTTCACCAAATATGAATGACTAAAAATCCAATCAATTTTTTTTCATATCCAGTAAGATCCACTCTTCTCAGGTCACAAGCTAAAAGGCAAATTCATCTGAAATGTCTCCATAGGCATCATTTTCATACTGCAGAAATCCTTACGCTATCTAACTCTACCATCTGCCTAACCCTTCTCTTACAAGTGGGCTGCAAAACATGTCTTTTTCATATTCTTCAGGTTGCATGAACTACTATGGGAAGACTAAGACAACAAAATTTTGTGTTCTCTCTCCCTTTCCCTCCTTGTACCAGTTTAAGCAAGTGGATTGCATTTACATATGGTATGCAATGGGTATCCTTAAATATCTGTCAAAAAGTGAAAATAAATTTGAGGAAAAAAGATGGATTCTTCCATAACTTTCCACACCACTATGTTTATCTTAAAGCATAAATATTAAGTGCAGATGACAAAAATGCAGAGAATAAATGTACATACTGAGAACTGAGTGTGGTGGAGCAGATAGAGTGACTGACTAGGATCAGGAGAGTTAGGTTTGAATCCCCAACTTGGCCATGGAAACTCACTGGGGGGCAAGGAGTGACAATGGTAACAATACTACTCAAACATCTTGAATACCTTGAAAACCCCATGAGAGTCTCTATCTGTCAGATGTGACTTGATGGCACATATCAACATGAGTGCAGAATCAGGTTTATTCTAAACATAATATGAACAAGCAGTACACTGACAACAATCTGTAATGCTTCTTATGCTGCTGAGACATTTATGCTTTCCACAAAATCACTCCAAGTGTTTTCCTGGTAATTACTCATCATATTAATGTAGATTATGTATGACTTACTCCTCTCATCTTGTAAAGAGACAGCCTTAACAAGATTCTGTGACTTGGTAATTCAGTTTCTTAGAAAGGAAAAATTAGCTACTTAAGCGAAGTTCTGAATAAACTTACCTTTAGCAAGAACACAAGCTGCTTCTTCTGTTCCTCAAGCCTGAGGCTGGTTAGTTTCCAGCGCTCCTGGATTTCAGAAAGCTCTGCTTGTAGTTCTGCTTCTGTCTCACCATCAGCACAGAGTAACAGCTGTTTCCCACCTTCCACTGTTAAAATGTAGCTTCCTTGCTGGCGAAGGAGAACCTTCTCTTTAATCTGTGAAAATCCACAATATGTATTGCTCTAATTTCACACAATTTTTAAAAATTATTTCTGAATCATCCTAAAGTCAAAACTAACAAAATTAATCATCTTATGATTTTAGGAAGGAAAATGTGAAGTTTTGCAATAGTAAGCCACCCCCTATTTTAAAAAGGCAAGTATTTTCAATACTGACAATCATTTCATTTGATGCTCATTAGTTTTTCTGATATCAGGTATTCTTCCCTCCCCCCCCACCCCCTTTGTTTATTTCCCTTCTTTTTCATCTGCAATGGGAATAAGAGGTACAGAGAAACAATAAGCTCTTCCCTCTGCCTATGGTTTCTACTGCCAGCCACTAGAGAATTCTACATAAGAAAGAAGAATGGTTACAAGTCTTGTACAAAGCAGGTGCAAAGTAATTTTAAATGCTATATTTACAGTATATTGCAATCATGGTTTGCAGTCAAGGCTAGAATACATATTCCAGTGGTCTCTCATCTAACAAAAATTATGTGCAGCAATTCTACAGCATCAGGGATTCTCGGAGGATAAGGTACTTGACACTGCCCTTCTGCGCCCACTTTTAAGAACTCCTGAGAGAAGAGAAACTGTCGTATCCTCTTCTGTCACTGCTTATTGGCGCAGCTGCAACAACAAAACTCCTTTTCCTTCTTTGGAGCTCATTTCTGCCAGTTTTTGCAATTTCAGGACACTCCGTAACTATTGGAAATGTTTAGTCTTTGAATGGGTAGATCAAGTATGAACATAAAACTCCCTGAAAGCTGAAGCTGTGAACCATTCAAAGAACAGGCATACATAGAATATGGAGCAAGAGATTCACATCAAATCTGGGAGGAAAGCATCAGATTAAAGACTAATGATCTAAACACACTGGGTTTCTGATGCCAGTAGTGGGTACTTGTGAGATGTGTGTTTCTCACCTACAGTAAATGCTGCAGTGAATGTCAGTAATATAAAATACTGGAAGAAAGTTCCTCATAGATTTACCTGCATTTCATCCAGCAGGGCCCTAGCTTGCTGAAGTGGGATAGGAACCCTTCCCAGCCTGCTTGCTGACTGGCAGGACACTTCCACCAGCCACTTCCGCAGCTTCTCTGCCATCTCTCTGTAGCGTTGCCACTGGCGAATCTGACTGTCAATGATACCCCTCCTCTGCTGGGCTCTACGAATCACCCCTTGCCACTGGTTACTGAGGAGAGCCAGTTTCAGATTAAACTCATCCCTATAAGAAAGCAGGGCATAAAAGTTAGAATTGTTTCCATCCTAACAAAATCACTCAACCAATCTGCACAAACATGGGTGACATCCATCAACAGCAACCTTTGTGTCCAGGGCAATGATGATGTGCTTTGAGTTAACATTAAAAATCAATAGGGGCAACAACAACAACAACAACAAAAAGATTCAAGGTTTCTGGAGAGCCAGTTTCCTTCTGGGTACTGCGTATGAGAACACAGAGGCTGAAATAAAAAATAGCCAACTGCCTTGGGTTCTTTTTGAGAAGATAGGCAGGGCTAAAAATATTTAAAATCAAAGAAAGAAAGAAAGAAAGAAAGAAAGAAAGAAAGAAAGAAAGAAAGAAAGAAAGAAAGAAAGAAAGAAAGAAAGAAAGAAAGGCCCAACAACTCTGCCTGCAAAGTCTCACTGTGACTGTTCAGTCTGCAAAGTCTCAGAGCGTATCTACACATTTCTTTGAAAGATGAAGGACAGGAAGATGAAGGACAAAGGAGGACACAGTTCAAGGAGGTGATTGTAAGAGCCTGGGAGTTTCTATTAGTCATTACTCATACCTCCAGTCTATTTAGCTTTCCTTTTATTAACAAAGGAAAGGAAAAAGAAATGCAATTCCTCTGTTGTGGCTGCTTCTATTAACCAGCAAATAAAGAATTCAGGGAGGGGACGCTCACAGCTCTTACTATCACAGCAAAACAAGGGGGAGGGGGAAGGAATTCCGCTTTTCTCATCCGAGTGATATTTCTTTGCAGAAAATGTATTTTCCAAAAAAAGTCTAACAGGAAATCTTGTGGGATTTCTCAGATTTTTTGTGGTTATTTTTTTTCTAAAAAGAAATTTCTCAGATTTTTTGTGGTTATTTTTTTCTAAAAAGAATGCCGATTTGCCCAGAATTACTGCAATCCTATGCAGAACAGCATCTTTCCTGAGAAGAAAGGGCAGAAAAGGGCACCAAGTTGCTCAGGGGTATTACAATTCCTGCACAGAATGGTGTCTTTCCTGTGCAGGACACATTGGAAAGGACAGTATTCGGCAGTTTCCTTCTCAAAACGGGGGTGTGGGGTGGGAAGGGAAAATTGAAGGAATGAGAATAGGGATCTTGTTTTCATGGGAAGTCAGAAAATCCTGCTGGTCTCCTGGAGAGTCTTGGCATACACAGATTTAGAAAATTATAGAGAATGAAAAAAATGTTTCAAGTATGCATTACCTCCCTAACTGAATTACTTATTTTGTCTAAAGCATTCCATTATAACAAATCATCCTGAACTGAATGCTCTTCAGAATTAAGGATGATTATTCTGTGAGTCCACTCTGCCCTGCCCTGTGTTCCATCTTTCTTCTTGATTTAACAGTCAGATAATTTGAAAAAAAAAATACTGGAATTAATGGCCAACATTTGATTGCATTTTACCGCAACCATGAAGACAGTGCTTTTTGTGGGCTGTCACACAGTTGATCTGGGTATTATCCAGGGAAGGCTGGGCCCTTGACAGATAGCCCAGGTAACAGATGACCTTGTTATCGTGATTGCCCTTACGCAGTCACCTAGGCAGGAGGATTCTGGCTATGGCATGCAAAACCTGCTACACTTTTCAGATCCATCCTTAGATCCAATAATTTATAAAATCCCTTCCAGTTTTGCAGTTCTAAAATTATGACTATCTGTTCATTTGCAATTTTGCTATCCTGTTTACTGATGCATACAACTACTTATGTGCATTGATGAAGCAGAAGTACTTAATGGAATCCTTTTAACAGAATACATGTTGTTTTCATGCTGCACATATCAGTGAACACAGATTGTGCTCACACTGGTAATTCATATACAAGAAACAAAAAGTGAAAACTGCTGCAAAACAAGAATATATACCACGTTTATTAAGCGCAAAAACAGAAGGGGAAAAATGCAGAGTAATAGTCAATGTTAATGGTTAGGTGCCATGTCAAACACAAGGTGATCTGCTTAAGCACAGTTCTGCTTCAGTAAAGGAAAGAAGCAGATGGTCTAATGCTTCTGTTTCTTGGCATCTCTTATGGGATTGGAGAGGCTTTAGATCCAGAGGCTCCAAAGCTATCCTGCTCTTACTACTACAACACCCTGCTCTGGGATACATTACCACCAAAAACTCTGCTAATGGGAGAATCATTTATGCTTATTTTAGTTACATCCCTGAACTGGGACTTAAGGCAGCTTACAGAACAGTTAAAAAAAATTAGGAATTTAAAGTAAGATTGAGTTGCAAATGTTAAAATAGGATTATAAAAATTCTGATATTAAAAATAAAATACTTCAAAACGTTTCATTAAAAATACTTACAACAGTTTACTTTTAAAAAGAGCTAGTACATTGGGTAAAATCTTATAGTGTGAGGAGCTTTAGATCCAAAAGCCTGGCTGAATAAAAAAGTATTCTGTCTGCTGCCAGCGGGGAGGGTAAACAGTTTAACTGTTCTGTAACTTGCCCTCTCTTGAGAAGGAGCTCCAGAGATTGGAAGCAGCCATCAAGAAAGCCCTCTCTCAAGTCCACACTAAACACACTTCTAAAGGTGCTGGGGCTGCGAGAAGGAACTCGCTAGAACATCTGAAATTCTGGGCAGGCTTTTATGGGAGGACACAGTCTTTAAGATAGTTTGGATCCATATCACAGAATCTTAGAATCATAGAATAATGGTGCTGGAAGGGACCTATAAGGCCACTGACTCCAACCTCCTGTTCAATGATAGAATCCAAATCAAAGCAAATAGGACAGATGGTTGCCTACCTTTTAAATATTTGAAAAAATGCTGTCATATCTCCCCTTAGTCCTCTTTTCTCAAGGGTAAATATGCCCAGATCTGTCTGTCTTTCCTCACAGGGTTTAGTTTCCAGTCTCCTGATCATCCTTTTTGCCCCTCTGAGCTTCTTCTAGATTGTCAGCATCCTTCTTGAAGTGTGGTGTTCAGAAGTGGACATAGTACTCTAGATGAGGCTTAAGCAGTACCAAATAGAGGGGACCTAGTACCTCATGGGATGTGGAGACTATACTTCTCTTAATGCATCCTAAAATTGCATGTCTTTTTTTGTAGCCGTATCACACTGTTGGCTTGTGATCTATGATGATTCTATGATCTATTCAGCTTGTGATCTATGATGATTCCAAGATCCTTCTCGCTCGTAGTATTGCTGAGCCAGGTATTCCCCATCTTGTAACTGTGTGTTTGCTTTATTATTTCCCAGGTGCAGTACTTTGCACTTATCCCTATAGGTCTATAGGTCATAACCACTACTTTGAATTGTGGCTGGAAATAGACTAATAGCTGGTGTAGCACTTGTAGAAATGTGTACGTTCAATGTAAGAAACTCTAGTCAGAAATCTGGCTGCATTGTTTTGGACCACTTAAAGTTTCTGAACACTGTTCAAAGGCAGCATCATGTGGATCATGTGTTATGCTAATTCAGTAGGAAAATATCCAAGGCATGTATCATTATAACCAAGTCAAACATCTCCAGAAATAGGTGCATTTGGCACATAAGCTTGCACTGTGCAAATTCATTCCTGGCCATTGCAGAGAACTGGCAGACATCCAGATTGTGGGATGAATCCAGCAGAGTACATCCAGGCTATGAACCTGAGTTTTCAGGGAAGTGTAACTCAGTCCAGCACAGGTTGGATCCCTGTTTTCAACTGACCAAACCTCAGTTTTGCCTGGATAAAGCTTCAACTCGTTCACTCTCATTCAATCCCTTACTGATTCCAGACACTGGTTTAGAAATAAACCAGCTTCTTTGGATGTAGATGGAAAGGAAAAAAATAGATCTGGGTGGCACTAAGCACCAAAACTACAGGCAATCTTTCCTGGTGCTTTCATGTTGATGTTGAATGATAAAGGGAACAAGGCAGATCCCTAAAGGGCACCACAGGTCAATGGCTAAGGTGTCAAACAAGAGCCCCTGCTCCCAAATCACCTTCTGATGAGATTGGAATGTAGTGCAACAAACTCTAAGATAAACATCTCATACATGTATCAAAACCCAGCATTTATATCTTCTGCAATGTTCACCTGCCAGGACAAAACTTCCTCTGGGAATTTTGGTATCACAAAAATTGAAAACATGACGTTTCTAGGAAAAACAAGTACTGTATCTATTGAAGGATGATGAAATAATCATACAGCTCATGATTGTTTTACACTAATACTGTATTTCTACAGATGTGAAATTTTGCAAAGTCATCCTTCTGCATGAGACTCTTCAATATGTATTTTTATATGGAAGGATGATTAGCAACTGGGTGTCCAAATGACTGTGCAAACACTATAAGAAAACAACAATGACAAAAATTTTCAGCCCATCATGAACTAGAGTGGGAAATTCCTGCAGCAGAGTAAATTGGAAATAGTGGAACAACCAGTAGTACTCTGGAAGCATTGTTTCATGTGACATGCCTGTATAGATTGTGGCACCCTATTAATATAATGTGCATCTGTTTGTGCAAACAGGTCTAACAGCAAAAACTACTTTAGCATTGAAAGGTTAAGTGTGGGACATTCTTACCTGTCATCCACCTGTCCTTGCTCAAGAAGATGCTGCCCATCCATGATGATAGAATGTAAGATCTGCTGGCGACTAAACATCTCTGCTTGGAACAGCTAGCGTAAAAAATTAAATTAAATTAAAAGGAGAAAATGTCAAGTACTCCTAAAGGAACTGAAGCCCTTGGCTGCAAAATAAATGTTGCCATCATCTTCATATACTTAGATTTCAGTTTTGGCCCCACAACTATATGACACGAAATGTTTTTAATCTGCACCTTTGATAAATAACTAAATATGGGATAGAAGTATTTTAAAAATGAAGTAAGTAGGTATAGGTATAGTTGAGCTAAATTGTAACTGCAAAATCTGGATGGCCAATTAATAAATTAATCAAACATTTCTGCTTTTTTTTTTTTTGCTTCCTGGACGTTAGCTCTATTCTTTGTAAAGTCCGACAAAGCCCTAAGATTTTTACCCTGTTTTTATAATTAATATAAATCTTGCTTTGCTTATATCACACAGAATTGGTTTCAAATGTATTTGCTACATTATCTTCCCTTTTCTTGATTAAATTTAAGCTATATAGTCTTTCATACATCAGGGAAAAAGTTTTTTAAGCAATATAAGGAGAGAACAAAATGAAAGAATGCTACTGTTCGCAAATAAAATAATGTGTTCCCCCGCAACTTTCTACACATCATAGCTAATCATTCATGACTAAGTTTAAAGTAGGTTCCCAAGAGCCCTCTGGTGGTGATACATTCATCGATTACCTCTTGCTTTCTGCAGCATAGCATTTTAAAAATTGAGACGGAACATGGAGACAGAAATTGGAGGCAAATAAGTATGCATTGGCATCTAATATTTTTTAAGTTGAAAATAAAAAATAAGAACATGACCCTCAAAAGGACGTAGGTCTTGGTTAGTGACCTATTCATTTGCCTTCCAACCCTTCTTCCAATTAATTTCTCATGATCAAGAGACCGGGATCAAGAGATAGCCTTATCTCACCACAGGCATCACAATCTCCTGTTTCAGTCTTTGATCCATGCCTGGGGTGAGACCAGCACAAAAGAGTATTTCTCTGAGGAGAAAACAAGATTTGAACAGCTCCGCTTGCTCCATGTCACACTAATTTCTAAGATGCCTGCACAGCACGCACGGAATGGAAGGAGCTACCCTATCTAAACATTAACTGCCTGTTGCCCCAATATATTAAGGAACCCAGCAAGGCAAACATTTGATATGCATTAGAGCACCCAACATTCCATTCTTCAGGCTATAGAAATGCAGGCCACAGCTAGAGACTAGGAGTGTTTACTCCCTTTCTTCTACTTCCCCATTTCTTCTAGCAGATCTTGGCTTTATTTGTTGCTACCAGACAACAATTTGTTGCTACCCCTTCATGGATTGCTGCCTTGTCAGACAGGTCATAGTGGAGAGTTCTGACTAAAAGCAATACAC